ATTCGGCAAATGAACATGTAATAAATTAGTCAATATGAGTTAATAAAATATACCTATGACCAAAATGTCACTCCGGGTGGGTAGGCTGCGGGATAGGTGGTGCAATGGGGGGGAATCTAATCCAAGCCCATATCTGCAGTAATACGTGACAACCACCCAGATTAACAGTCCGCGGGTTTGTTGCCACACATAAACGTCTAAAGAGATGGGCGAGAACCGCAGACCCCCAACTGTATCCGCCAATGTCTGTAAAGTCCCCAGCAAGCAGTGGAACGTAACGACAAGCAATTTTGCTGCCACCTGATCTGTCACACACTAACCATGAGCCTAATAGCCGCAAAATGTGTGCCTTGGTGTAACGCCTCACCTCCTCTGGATTGTATGCTACTGTAAACCAATCAGCATATATCTTGTCTAAGTAAGAAATACGTAGATCGCCTCCGTGAATGTCTGTGCCCGCAACAAGGGCAGTCCCAAAAACCTGCTGACACATAGCAATCCAATCCAACGCTGTAGATCCGGTAACTGCCTGCCCGTCAGTAGGCAAACCAAGTATACCAGCCACGTCCTGTAATGTAACGGTCATCTCTCCCTGCGTCATGTGAAACGTATGTGTCTCCGGTCTCCAACGCTCAACCAAAGCAGAGATCAAGGGGGTATCGATCTGAAGGAAAAACAACAATTATACAAAGTCCACATACAGTAATTTAATTAAGTAATTTAAACATTACATACCTGAACATGAGTCATACGTGCCACGTGTATGAACCCAGCCTGTGTCAAATAGTCAGCGACAACGTCTGGTATATCATCATGATGGGGTCCCCCCTGAAGTTTCCCTCGCCTCGTCTTTAACCCTCTGAACGTATCCTCGTTCCACACAACTTGTGAAACGTGACTGCGTTGTGTCCTCTTACGGAGTACCTCCCACCTATATGGTCCAAGAAGTACATGCGTACAAGGATCGGATGGCTCAAGATCACCATCGGATCCAGAGCGCGAGGACTCTGATGAAGACGAATGGGCCATAATAGAATACTACTACAAATGAAAAATATGTACCCAAATTACTATTGATATTATATTAATTTACACTAAATAAAATTTAATTGCACTTAATTAAATAGCATTTAACTAACTTCAATTGTTATATTAATTTCAATTAAATTAACATCATTGACAATTAATTCATTTAACATTACATTATTCTTAAAATATATTTCAATACATTAAATAATTCAAATTCAATTTAAATTAATATTGCATACGGTATTCTTTTTTTACTAGCCCTAATTATAATGTGGTTAATTGAAAGGTCAATATGTTTGCAAGTGTCATTCATAAAAAAGTCATAAAACCAACATATACCAATTTAGAAGTAACTAATTAATTTTTAAGTCCATATCTAATACATAAGTCACATCACAATTCTCTTACATAGGTCACTAATATTTTTCTAACCCCCTAACAATTAAATAAAGTCACAAATATTTTTCTAACCCCCTAACAATTATCTAAGTCGCTAAATAACTATCATATATTAATTGCTGTTAATAAAAAAAATAAACAATAAATAGGGACTTACATGAGAGAGAGAGAGACAGAGCTTCGCTGCGCAAAACCCTCCAAAAGAAATTTAGAGAGAAGGAGGAGGAGGAGGTTTAGAGAAAGGATGGGAGGATGGAAATGAGGTAAAAAGGTGAAAAACGGATTTATATACACCGCGGAGAACACGCCCTACCTTGGGCGTGTCTCTCTCCTGGAACACGCCCTACCTTGGCCGTGTTTTCTTCAAAAGCTCACGCCCTACCCTAGGCGTGTCTCTCTCCTGCCACACACGCCCTACCTTGGGCGTGTTTCCTTCAGAAGCTCACGCCCCACATGGGCGTGTCTTTCTCCATCAGAACACGCCCCATGTGGGCGTGTTTGGGTGCTATAGATTCGTAATTTTTTGCAAAACGACTACTTATTCGTAATTTTTTATTAAAAAAGTAATAAATTAATTTTTTTGCCGTTCCACGCAATATACTCAAGTATATGGGTCATGTACTCGAGTATATGAGACCATATATTTCCTACAAAAAATTTCAAATGTGTGGCTCTCGAAAAGTTATGTGAAAAAAAAACACCTGATTCGGACACTCGAATCAAAAGTTATAGCCTTTCCAAGTTTCACTCTAAAATATTTATCCGAGTCAAGTCCAATATTATAAATATATAACTATATAAACTTGTTTGATCCAAAAAAATCTCGTAAAAAAAATTTAACCGTAAAATTTCGGAAAACCATATTTTTGGATCAAACAAGTTTATTATTACTTAATTTTCTTATAGCGAAGGCATAGTCTTTTTTTTTCTTCAAATAAAAAACTCATTGGCGCCAAGCGTGAGGGAATGCTAAACGTTTGGTAATTTCTCCTCCTGCCAAAATAAAAGATCCCTTGAAGCGGCTAATCCCATGCATACTGTCTGTACATCTGGTTGTACTTGTAGGTATCACAAAACCTATTGGTATTACAAAATTTTGGAAATGTTAGTGTAAAATTTTAGAAGGCCATAACTTTTGACTCGAGTGTCCGAATCAGGTGCTTTTTTATGCCAAAAAAATTTCTTGTTTAGAGATTTGGTCCAAAAAAATTCCCAAGTTGTGCCCCGTTTGGCATATTTTATGTTTGCGAAATGATGTTATTTAATTTTTTATTTTCAAACACTTACAAAATCCTCCGGGAATTTTTCAACGCGTAGGTCTAGAAAAATTATGTGGAATAAAAAAAAGCACTTGATTCGGACATCCGATTCAAAAAATATGGTTTCCAGAATTCTACCGTTAATGTTTTTTTTCACGAGATTTTTTGTATGAAACGAGTTTCTATAGTCATATACTTATAATATTGGATTTGACTCGAGTAACGTGAGGAGGAGCTGTGTGAATATCACAAAATCTATTGATATTATAAATTTTTAAAAATTTAGAGTAAAACTTCGGAAGGCCATAACTTTTGACTCATGTGTCTGAATCAGATGTTTTTTTTTTATTCCACATAAATTTTCAACAGCTACGCATTGAAAAATTCTCCTAGGAAATTGGGTTTCATTTACTCGAGTACATGATCCATATACTCGAGTATATTGCGTGGAACAGTAAATACTCGAGTATATTGCGTGGAACAGTAAATACTCGAGTATAAACTCATGACACTTGATTTATAGTTTACTCGAGTATAAAGGTCACGTACTCGAGTATAGAGGCCAATCAACAATCAAACAGAGACAGATTAGTATTATGTTTAGAAAAAATATCATCTTTTTTAAATAGTTTAAAAACGAGGGCAAAATGATATTTTTTTATGTAATTAAGGGCAAATACTAAAAAAAACAAAAAAAAACAAAAAAAAAAACCTCTTGCTATCTTTCTGAGCTTCACGCATGTCGATGCGCTCCAATAGAAGCACGAATAATTAAATTATTAGGACTGCTCCACACGCTAACGTGTAAGCATGTGAGCAGATATTTGACAATATTGGACCATTGAGAATGCTAGGCATCTCACAAGAAGTTCATTATTTGTTGTGAATTATTTTATTGCAAAGTACAATTTAGTGGCTAGATCCATGGAAGACCTTCCATTCTTTCATGGGCTAATAGGGTAAGTATGTATCAGATAATTTTTCAGTATAATTGCCTCTCCCATATTATTGCTTGACCCGATTTTAATACCAAATAAATGGAGAATCAAATTAAGTTAAAAAAGTTATTATTGATTAAGTTGTGTTTGTTTATTAGGATAGGTTTGCGGAGCTACGAAGGAAGGTACTTTTATTCTTAAATAATGCCTCGCTTGAGTGTTTTTTAGCCATTAGATTATTGTTATTTCTTAATGTGTATGTTTTGTTATTAAAAATTAAAATTAAAAATTATGGGAGTGGATTCTCTCACTAAGATTAATGACATGATTTAATCACGTTAAAATAAAATATAAGATGATGAATTATCCTTAACCTTTTACACATGATAATAATTGACTAATTGGGTTAATAAACCAAAAAAATGTTGATTAGATTGATTTTTTTTTTTCTTACATTATTGATTTGTGTTTAATTTATTGCAAATCTAGGAATCTTTCTTAATATTTGCTTCAAAATATCACCAAAGAACACCAGACATCCAGAAGATTGAACAAAATAGACATATAAAACACCAACACAAACAAAGGAACAAACAACTTTCAAACGGAGAAAAAAAGAAAGAAAGAAAGGCTAAACAACTACATACTTATAAGGACACATTAATTTTAAAGATCAGGGCTGTGAATTCACAAAAGGGATACATGTGAACAAATCCAAATGCTTATTTTGCCTACAGAATTTTGAGATAGACGAGAGATACATACCAAATAAACACAATAAAAAACGATTAATTTTCTAATAATTATAATTCAGTTTAAGTTCCGTTCTTCAGTTGACTACCTTTCAATATTTGTTTTTTCTTTCATATATAATTTATCTTTCTAATCACAATATATAATAGGTCGGATTCTCATAAGAAATATAAAGATAAGAGTATTGAAATAATTTATTCTTTTCCCTTTTTTTATTTTGGGTACTTATAAAAGATTATGTTTTTATTGTAATTTTTATATGACGAGTAATGTACGAGGGCTTTATAAATAAAAGGATATGATAAAGACACATTTTTGCTTTTGGGCTGAGCAAAAGGCACCATTTACTTAGTCCAATCAAGGGTCCATCATGAACGAACCGAAGGAGCTAAGTGGCCTGTCTTACCGTCTTTTTGGACAGAGACTTATGGATCAGTGACATTGAGTTGGAGCAACATAGGCTTCAGTTGATGGCAAGTCTATTTATCAATTTGACAAATGGAGAGACTAATAAGAAAAATTGCAAACGAATCAAAACTGCTTGAAAAATAAGAAAATGTATATAATAAGCGTGAAGTAATGATTGTCAAGAGTGAAAATCCTATAATCTTGCTCAGAAACTTTTGGAGATTATGAACTGATAGCTAACAAGTAACTATTAAACGATAGGTCAAATTGTGAAAGCTTAATAACAAACGGCAAATTGAAGTCTGAGCAATCCAACCAAATAAATCAAATAACAACTATGGTACTGTAGGGGGTTTCGGCTTTTAATACACGATTTGCTTATGTTTTAATTTACCTAAATTAGGTTCAAGTCAAACAAAATATAGAATAGCTAACTGCCCATGAAGAAAGATCAGTAAGTGTAGATGACGTATGAACAGTCGATGGCAAGACTACTAATCAAGTACACATATCAAAACTGAGTTCCCATCTTAATCATCTTGAATTTCTCATGTTCCTGAAATCAATTAGGAAGGGGAAAAAAAACCTCTTGAGCTACAACAAAAAAAGAATTATAACATGAAAACCAACATGAGCAACATATCTAAAAAACACATGCATTAAATACGAATCAATGGCAACAGGAAGCCTCGCCCTTTATACAAGTAATAGTTATGAATTAACTCGTAAAAACTCTTCCATAATATGTGGATCAAATGACAAACATAATTTTTCTACGCCCTCGTTTTCATTTAAAAAAAAAGAATGCACTAGGCAGAGTCATCATATCAATAGCAGCAAGTAGCAGTGCTATTGCTGCAGAGCAGCATTTAACAAACCTCGGTCAACACCAAAATCCAGTCGCGGAGTGTTATTAGTGTTGCAGCCACAGTAACCAATATAATGATGCTACATGCCTACATCACAGCCTGAATTGTGGCCACGATGCTTCTGCACAGATTGAAATCTGTTTTGACTTTCTTTTTGAATTAAAGTTCTATTATATGATCATCAAAACTAAAAGTATACCTGTAAACGATGCTTTCACTGGGCTGTGATCTTGAGGTTTCATGGCAGGGAAGAGAAGAACCTCCTGTCACCAAAAGGACCGAAGATTGTAAGAAATCGCCAGAATAAAGTGAGCGTGTAGATAGAGAAAGACCAAGAACCTTAATATTCTGTGAATCCGTAAGCAACATGGTCAACCGATCAATACCCAAACCCCAACCACCAGTTGGTGGCAAACCGTACTCCAGAGCTGTACAGAATGTTTCATCTAGGGCCATTGCTTCATCATCGCCTGATTGCCGATCCTGACATGTAAAACATATAATAAACCGTTACAGCGTTACTACTCTTATTGATCAGAATCAGTTTAGTACATAACAGTTGTATCATATCTCATTACCTTAAGTTGTTCAGCAAATCTTTGTCGTTGTACTACAGGGTCGTTCAATTCAGTATACGCATTGCAAAGCTGAAAAGTAACAAAAACATTGATCAGAACCCAGAAGCACGAATCCGTTAAATATTTTTTAATAATAATCATATATATATCAATATCTTACTTCATGTTTATTAACAAACAACTCAAAACGTTCAGTCAGGCCTGGTTTTGATCTGTGCCACTTTGCCAAAGGACTCATTATCTCAGGATGGTTTATGATGAATGTCGGATTCACACACGTTTCTTCCAAAAAGTGCCCCACAAGCTGCAATATGAAAAGAATACAATCATATATCCTGCAGACACCTCATACAGAGGCTCAAAATGAGGAATAAAGATCCAGGCAAACAAAGTGCAGCAATTAGAATTGCCTGCATTTAAATGGAACTTTACACCTATAATTAAGTAATAAAAAAGTACAGGAAAAATACACAAACGATGAAAAAGTAGTAGACCAGAGTTGTATCCAAGCTTTACTAAACCTGCAATAATATTAATCACAGAGAAATCAATGTAACAGTTCTCTAAATAGAATCGCCAGAGCTCATTACTGGAAATCAGAGTTTTAGTAATGGAATGGCTAGCTGTTGTTTTACAAATACTGGAATGTTTATAGTTCTAACCCCCCACCCTCCAATTCCTATCTATTTCATTTTCCCAACCATCAGAACAGAAAACTAGACATTAGTTTATCCAACATCTGAACTCTTATCATGGTCTTATTTGCTAATCATCCTAAATCAGACCTGAAACTCCACAATAAGTATGACATAGAAGGCACCACTGATAAACAGTGCCATTACAAATTTTGCAGCATTCTGACAAGGAAAAAGAAAGTACAATCTGCTTTTACATAAAGAGAAAAACTAAAAACAAAAGAGATTATTCTTTAAAAAAAAAGGGAAAGGAAGTTACTTTATCCAACAAGCGAGTAGTTGTTTCAGGAGGAGGACATTTGATCTCATGCTTCAAGCATGCATCCTTTAGATATTGATTAGCTTCCTCACTCGACAAGTCTTTGGGAATACTGAGGCCTGCCATCTTCTCTAATTCTTCAATCATGTCAATCCTTCTGTAACAATAAAAAAATCCAAATCAATCATTCAAAAAGAGAATACAATTATAACCAACCACCATAAGTGACCAGCAAAATTAAGCCACGTACCTGAAAGGTGGTGTAAAGTCAATTTCAATAGGATCCTTATCAATCCCATCTGCATGGTACTTGATTTTATAGCTTCCTTTTGTAAGCTCCTTAACCATACCTATTTAATGGTTTCCATATTATGAATGATAATGAAGGAACCCAGAAAAATATAGCACTGAATTCATTATCAATGGAGGCATAGCCTCTTTTCAGATACACTAATCAACAACATCAACATCAACAACACCTTTATCTCAAATTATTTTTTTTTTATTTTTTTTTTCAGATACACTAATACAAAGATAAAATGCAGAAAATAAACCCCAAGAAACCTCAACTCCCCCTCAAACCAACAAACCTAGGCTCAAGAGTTCAATAGATGTCTCCCAATTTCCCCATAAGCCAATACTGAATTCATGCATACCCATACTACACACACTGGTTACCTTTTATCCTATACTTAAGGAATATTCTAGAATAGTTTCCATAACAAACTAATTCACTAACATTTAGGCCCATGGCCCATCAATACTCCCCCTCCAAATCTCACCTTGTCCTCAAGGTGAAGAAAAAGGATAGGTGATGTGAGAAAACATCCACCGGGATCCCATTGTTTGAAGCATGTTGAGCAAAAATCTTGAGTGATTGACAATTCTGGTAATGACAGTACCACACCCCTACACATCCCTTCATTGTGGACTCTATGTCCATCTCCTACTTCCACGGAATATGTTTCTGTCTTAACCACCAGAAGCTTCCATTCTTGAGCCACTTGTATTGCTAGGAAATGGGAAACTCCTAAGTCCATTAAAAAAGCAACCCTCCTCTCTTCGATTTTTCCCCAAATCATTATTCCTACAACTGTGATTGTTTTTCTTTTTTCTTTTTCCTTCTTCAATTCTCGCATTTTTATCCAAATTGTCTCCCTCGCACATTCCATTCAGAATTCTTTTCCACCATCTATGAAGCACCGACACTTCAAAAACCCTGACGTGTCGTGTCTGACACTTCCCGACACTCTCGGACACTCCGACACTTCAACACGCATTATAGAAATTCAAAAAAAGGTTCAAAGGTTGCGTTGCGTTGAGTTTTTAGTTCCAACTATTAGATTCGTTGGATTACGATTATCATTTTATTGAGTTTAATATAAATATTTGGGATATCTTATGTTTGTTTGCAAAATTTTGTGAATATTATAAGTTTAGATTCATTTTTTTGTTAAATTATTGAATATTAAATATAATATACACTACATAAATTAAAAATATTATTTAATATCAAAATGTGTCCTAACGTGTCGAAATCTAACAAATTTTAAAATTAACGTGTCGGAGTGTCGTGTCGTATCGTGTCACGTGTCGTATCGGTGCTACATAGCCCACCATTGACGTATAGCTTCTTCCACCCTTCCCACTCCTTTTTCCACTCGATCCATGTGAGCTCCACAACATCCAATTTGTACTCCATTTTTTTTTTAGATATGGACAGAAGCATCCCGAGATCGAAAGTGCTCTGAGACAAAATTGACGAAACCCAGAAAAATATAGCACTGAATTCATTATCAATGGAGGCATAACCTCTTTTTACATACACTAATACAAAAATAAAATGCAGAAAATAAACCTTTAGAAACCTCAACTCCCCCTCAAACCAAGAGACCTAGGCTCGAGAGTTCCCTAGAAGTCTCCTAATTTCCCCATAAGCCAATACTGAATTCATGCATATCCATACTACACATACTACCTACTTTTTATCCTATACTTTAGGAATATTCTAATATAATTTCCATAAAAACTAATTAATTCACTAACTTTTAGGCCCATGGCCTATCAGATAATACGTAGGTGACTTGAAGATAAGATAAATGAAAAAGAATCAATATGAAAATCAAAAGGCACCTAGTAAATTCTTACCACTCAACATTTGCTCTGTTATACCCATCAAGTCATTGTAGTCCTGATAAGCCATATAGAACTCACAGGTGGTGAACTCAGGATTATGAGTCAAATCTATGCCCTCGTTCCTAAATTGTTTACCAATTTCATATACACGATCAAGCCCACCAACAACCAACTCCTTAAGATAGAGTTCTGGAGCAATTCGCATGAATAACCTCATGTTAAGTTCATTGTGATGAGTTACAAATGGACGGGCTGCAGCTCCACCAGCAATCATGTTCATCATAGGCGTTTCAACCTGAAAGCGGAGGAAAAAGTAGGTAAATGGAAGGAAAGAACCAGAGGCATCTGGCATCAGAATACTCAGTCAAAGAACAAACCTCCAAGAAATCAAGGTCATCAAGGAACCTTCTAATGTAAGAGATGATTTTAGACCTAGTCTTAAATATTTCTCGAACCTCTGGATTAAGCATCAAATCCAAATATCGTGACCGATATCTTGTTTCCTATAAAAAAGGATAAGTAATTGAATAAAACACATTTTTGTCAGTTCATGAATAATATATTTTGATAGAAAGATGAAGCAAACAGGAGATAATGCAAAAGAAAACTGTAAGTTCAGTTTCTACAGATTAGAGTTAATAAAACAGCTTTATTATGCCAAGCAGAAAATATTGAAGAAAAATCCATTTTAACTTTCAGTACACAGAACCAAGGACGCAAGCTTCAAAATTGCAATTTACTGTGTCCTTCAACAATCACACAATATAGGACTGAAATTTCTATGAAGTCAATTGCTATTGATTAGGGATTCAATCAACAAACATGATTCACTTCACTCTATTCAGTGCAAAAATAGGAAATTTTAGTTTAATTTCGAGTTAAAATCATCGGGCAAATGAGAGCGTTTGGCACGAAAAAAATTTAAAAGACCGAGAACAATGAAAGTATCTATAGAGTACATTTCATGCAAATGATACCTGATCCTTCAGAATGTATGTTTCAGGATTCCTGGTACTTCCAGGTACCCATGGAAGTCCCTGCAGATCATTAAAGAAAAACAATGTCATTGTTTATGGTCATCAAACAGAACCAAACATAGAGGAATTGTGCTGACCTTCACATTTGCATTATCAGCATCAGCAGGAGCAGATTTTTGGTGACCTTCAAATTTTTGCCTAGGCACCATATGTAGACTATGAGACAGCACCACAAAAATCTTCGGGAAAATACTAAGCTCTCCCTTCTTACTTTTGCCTGGAATATTAAACAAGGAAAAACTGAAAAAACTGCTGTTTAAAGAGTAAACAAACTTATAATCCAGAATATAATATTGTAGAATTCATCTCAATTCTCAAGTATTGAACATCAAAATAGAAAAATATATGCCTGATTGCAGAATATATCCCTTTATAATGATATAAATGCATCTAATACGGTTTCCGATTTTCGGCAATTAGCAAAAGATTTCAGTGTGATTCTTGTGCTTAAAATGGCTCCTAATTGTGTCATAAATCACATTGAGGCACGAATTTACTGGACTTAAGATAGAATAGTCTAATAATAAGCAAATTATCAACACAATATTTACATCTTAATTTATTCCCATATACCAAGGCTAATTTCAATTTCTAAAAAAGTCCTTATTCTCCTTATTGTATGTGTTTATACTTGGAAAGACAGAATTAGGGCTCGTTTGGCTCAATACAGTAAGTTAATATAAGAAATTATGGCTTTATAGTTGTTTGATGCAAGTACTAACTTGTATAGCTTATCATTTTTAAGTTAACATTTTTGGACTCTAATTGTATAAAAAAATAAAGGAAAAGGGAATCCACCAAAAATAAAATAAAGGAAAAGGGAGCCAAACATGCCAGTCCGAATAACACAAGCCCCGCATAGAGTTAGGCTAGGCCAACAATTTGCCAACTTGGACTAGCTCTATTAACAAGGGTTTGTGAAATAGCATGAGGAATCTCTTAAAAACCCCATTCTATTTATCTAAGATTTACGATCACTTTTCATTGAAATAGCAAATTAAAATCCCTGATATTGGGAAACATACAAATCAAATCCTAATTAATTAAAAATCAAGAGACATAAACTCCCCCTCAAGTTGGTGTGTGGAGATTCCGAAAACGAAACTTGGATAGTATGTAGCAAAAATCGCTCCCTGGTGCCTAGGTGAATAAAAATAGGCGAGTTGATGCTTAGAGGTAACTTTGGTTGATGCAATAATCCCAAATGAGATGACAATTAATTTCGATATGTTTAGCCCGTTAATGATATAATGGACTAGCAATGATGCAAAATTCAGCCTAATTATAACAATAAAAAGAGACCAATGGACGAAGCAGAAGACCAATGTCTCAGAGTCAATGTTGTTAAAACGTAGAGTCTACGTTGAAACGGTAGGGGTGAGAATAAATGTAAAATCGTAAAACGTAAACGAAACATAAGAGTTTACTACATACAAAGAAAATATATATATATATATATATATACATATCCAACATATATAAAACCAAAACACACTAATACATAAGACATCACAATTTTATTTTATAATTTTTGGGATACAAAGTCATCACATATCTAAGTCCAAACCAAAAAATACTCCCTGTTAAACTCGACTAGCGAGTGTGGGGTGGAGGCAATCCTTGTATGCAACCTTACCCTTGCATAGTTGCAAAGAGGTTGTTTCCTGGATTCGAACCTATGACTTTTCAGTCATGAAAGAATAGCTTTACCACTGTTCCGGTTCGCCCAAACCTAAGTCCAAACACTAAAGGAAATAAAAACTAAGTTCAAACTCAGTCATCATAATACATATTAAAATCAAAACACAAAGATAATAAAATTATAAAAGAGATCAACATCTCTAATTTAAGTTATTGGAGTCAGAGTCAATTTCTGATATTTGTTAGGGGAATTAGCATGAGTGGGTAATCGTCTCTGGAATTTATATATAAGTCCACTAAGAAAAAAGAGGGGATAAACCCAATGCTAAGCCCACTAAAAAAATGTTTTGAGCGGCGCATGTAATAGTTACCTCTCAGTCAAACTATTTTCTTCCACTTCCTCCTCCAAAAAGCTAATCTCTCTCTGTATTTACATTGAGACGCGAAGCAATCTATCTGGAAGTAGAATCTCCCCTAACTCAAATTACACAATTCGTGTTGCTTTGCCACAAGGATCTCACTGTTTTCTCCCTCTATAAACACCATTTTCATGCCTACATGACTCGCTTCTTTACCCTGCGCTACTGAGAACCTACTACATACTACCTTATAGCTCTAAGCTATGCGGAGCCTAAGACTATGTTGATAGTGGCAACGAGATAAACCATCTACAATCACAAGCGATGTAACTTCTAACATTTGCAATCATCGATACCCACACCCATGCACCCATGGTCTGTCCCAAGCAAGATAAAGGAGGAGGATTGGCGTCAGGTGTAGCGAACCGTCCATAAAAAGCAGCTATATTTTATGAGATGAACCCTTATGATTTTTCGTTGGGTGTACCCTTCATAGCGACGCGTTGCATCGGGCCCGAGGTGTAGCGAAAAATGGGCTAGAGCACTTGCCACAAGGCAAGGCGCTGCATCAGGACCCGGATGTAGTGATAAATGTGCTAGGGTCCTTGCCTCAAGGCAAGGCGCTAGGTCTTCACCCGGATTTGGTGAGAAGTATGTCAGGGTCCCAACACACAGATGGGCGAGCGTGGCGGGCAAGTACAGCCCAGGGGTTAAGGATGCGATTGGGAAGCTGGAACATAGGAACCTTAACGGGCAAATTGAGGGACTTAGCAGATGTTTTTGCTAGAAGGAAAGTGAATATTGTTTGCTTGCAGGAAACTAAGTGGGCTGGAGAAAAGGCCAAGGAAGTGGATGAAATTGGTTTCAAGTTATGGTACACAGGTATAAATAAGAGTCGAAATGGTGTTGGAATTATGATCGATAAAAGTTTCAGAGATAAAGTTGTTGATGTCAAAAGGAAAGGCGACAAGATTATTCTGGTTAAGCTTGTAGTGGGTGATCTAATCTTGAATATCCTCAGTGTGTATGCACCCCAAGTTGGATTGCAACCAAATGATCAGAGCCGATTTTGGGAAGACTTGGAGTAGGTTTTGAAGGGGATACCACGAGAGGAGAAGATTTTCTTAGGAGGAGACCTAAATGGTCATGTTGGTAAAAGCAATGGAGGTTTTGATAGAATTCATGGAGGTTTTGGCTATGGGACAAGAAACAAGACTAGAGAAGATATTTTGAATGTTGCACTAGCCTATGATTTGATGCTAGCGAACACCTTTTTCAAAAAAAGGAGTCACATCTAATCACATATCATAGTGGCCATAATCGTAGTCAGATTGATTTCTTTATGGCTAGAAGAGTAGATAGAACTTCTTGTATCAACTGTAAGGTCTACCCTGGAGAGTGTGTCGCTACGCAACATAAGCTGGTAGTCCTGGAGGTTCGGTTTAACAAAGTTCTTTCAATGATGAAGAGGGCCCAGAACCCTAGGATAAGACGGTGGAAGCTTAAGGAGGAAAAAGAGAGAGTTCAATGAAAGAATGTTGCATGAAGGACCTTCGGAGTTTGATGGAGGAGCAAATGCAATATGGAATGAGAAGGCTATGTGTATTCAAAATATGGGAAGGAGGGTGATGGGAGAAAGCAAAGGAAATGGATTTCATGCAAAGGAAACATAGTGGTGGAATGGAGAGGTGCAAGAGGCAATTAAACATAAGAAAGAATGCTTTAGATCTTTTCATAAAAGCCCCAATGAAGAGAACTTGCAAAAGTTTAGATTGGCGAGAAAAAATGCAAAGAAAGCAGTGCGGGAAGCTAGAGGCAAGGTTTTCGCCGACTTGTATAAAAATCTTGGGAGCAAGGATGGTGAAAAAGGTATTTATAAACTTGCAAAAATAAGGGATAAGAAAAGTAAAGATCTCACCCAAGTTAAATGTATCAAGGATGAAAACCAAAAACTATTGGTGAGAGATAAAGATGTAAATGAAAGATGGATGAACTACTTCAACAAGTTGTTTAATGGGGATGGCAATATAAGCGAGGTGGACTTGGAGGATGCCTATGATGATTTGAATAGAAGATTTGCCGCAGAATTAACACACATGAAGTTAAGGAGGCTTTAAAGAGGATGAAGACTAATCAAGCCTTAGGACCTGATGGTGTCCCTATGGAAGTGTGGAGAGGCTTGGGAGATGTGGCAGTAAATTGGTTGACTAATCTTTTTAATAAGATTCTTCAGACAAATAAGATACCTGAAGCATGGAGGAAAAATATGCTTGTGCCTATTTACAAAAACAAGAGAGATATACATAATTGTTCTAACTATAGAGGCATTAAGCTAATGAGCTATACTATGAAGTTGTGGGAGAGAGTTATTGAACATCGCTTGAGAAGAGATACCAAGGTTTCTGTAAATCAATTTGGATTTATGCCAGGAAGATGTACCATGGAAGCCATTTTCTTGATGCAACAATTAATGGAAAGATATCGAGAAAAGAAGAAGGACTTACATATGGTGTTCATAGATCTTGAGAAAGCATATGATAGGGTTCCAAGGAAAGTTTTACGGTGGGTTCTTGAGAATAAAAAAGTACCATCAAAGTATGTAAAGGCAATCAAGGATATGTATGATGGGGCTACTACATGTGTGAAAGCTTGTAATGGAACATCAAGTTATTTTCCTACCACGGTAGGTGTACACCAAGGTTCGACTCTAAGTCCTTATATCTTTGCCTTAATTATAGATGAACTAACAAAAGATATTCAAGAGGAAGTGCCATGGTGTATGTTGTTTGCAGATGATATTGTGCTTATTGATGAGAGCAAAGACGGTGTTAATAGAAAACTTGAATTGTGGAGAAACACGTTGGAATCTAAAGGATTCAGGTTAAGTCAGAGCAAAACTGAGTATTTGAAGTGTGAGTTTTCTCTGGTAAGAGATGTAGACCAAGATCCGGTGCATCTAAGTGGTCAAAGAGGTACACAAGAAAGATGTTTTTAGATACCTGGAATCCATTTTGCAGAAAAATGGAGAGATTGATGAGGATGTAAATCATAGAATCAGAGCAGAGTGAATGAAATGGCGTAATGCATATGGGTTTTTGTGTGACCACAAAATCTCCCTTAAGTTAAAAGGAAAATTCTATAGAACAGCAGTAAGGCCTGTAATGCTATATGGAGCTGAATGTTGGCCAGCACATAGACAACATGAGCATAAAATGGG